TGAGGGATGGTGCAGCTGAGGGATGGTGCAGCCCAGGGGTTTTGGGAGCCCTGCCTTCCCCCGTAATAGGGGGGGAGGATCCTGACTGAGGCGAATGGCTCTTCCTGCCCTGTCATCCTACATTCTCCGCCCCGTCCCACCCAGCTCTTCCTGGGGGGCAGCATTGTGAAGGGAGGCCCTGTGCAAGTGCTGGAGGACCAGGAGCTCAAATCCCAGCCAGAGCCCCTGGTGGTCAAGGTGAGGCGCTCTCCCTGCCCACCCATGGGCACAGGGCACACTCAGGTCCATGCTGGAGGGGTATGGGAGAAGGGGGGGGGGGGCATCCCAGCAAGCTCTTGGGGTTTGGGTGGTGCCTGTGATCCCCTCCAGGGCCCTGGGGACTGACCCCTGGTTTTCCCAAGGGGAAACGGGTGGCTGGAGGCCCTCAGATGATCCAGCTTAGCCTGGATGGGAAGCGTCTGTATGTCACCACGTCGCTGTACAGTGCCTGGGACAAGCAGTTTTACCCTGATCTCATCAGGTGAGAAGCAGACAGCCTGGGCTTTCCTCCCCAGTCGCCCCCCCCCCCCCCCTGCAAAGAAGCCCCAGGCCTTTAGCTTTCGTAAGATTCCTCGGGTAACAACGTGCCCCCTGTAACATGGAACCAACTCCGTGCGCATGAACCAACTTGGACACTTACAATGCCTTGGGGGAAAGGGGATGGGCCACTCTGACCACTCTCTTCTTTCCCCCTCATTGCCACCAGGGAAGGCTCCGTGACGCTGCTCGTTGATGTGTACACCGCATAGGGGGGGGCTGAAGGTGGGACCCAAACTTTCTTGTTAGACTTCTTGTAAGGAGCCCCTCGGCCCAACCCTTGCCCCATGAGCCGCCCGCTACCCTGGGGTGACTGCAGCTCTGACATCTGGCTCTGAAGCTCACCCCTCAGAGCCCCACTGCCGCGTTCTGAGCCCTCTCTTCCCCAGGGACCTGGCTTCCCTCTGCTCTCTGGGCCACCACCCTTGGCAGCTTGCCCCACCAAAGCCAAACTGAGGCTGATGAAATGTATTGAGCGGTGTCTCCACGTACCAACCACTGTTCTGTGCTGCTCCCCGTGCTGTCTTTACATGAGCTCTTGAAATTATTTCACCACAAAATAAACTGGTGAAAAAATAAACCTATTCCTTAGGTCACCTTGCCTCGGAGGGCATGGGGCCTGTGATTTCTTTTCTGTCTTGCACAGGGACGTCCTGAAGAGGACTCAGGGGTCACATAATAGTGATTCCAACATGATGCTGATGGTGCCCCAAATCTCACTTGTATAGCCAGACAGAACCTGAAGATTTGGGGTGTGGTTGTGACAAGGACACCCTGGGGAAGAGAATGTCAATCACTGTTTCTAACCTTTTTAAACAATCTGTGCGCTCTTTTTTTTTTTTTTTTTTTTTAAATATATTTTATTGATTTTTTACAGAGAGGAAGGGAGAGAGATAGAGAGTTAGAAACATCGATGAGAGAGAAACATCGACCAGCTGCCTCCTGCACATCTCCCACTGGGGATGTGCCCGCAACCCAGGTACATGCCCTTAACCGGAATCGAACCTGGGACCTTTCAGTCCGCAGGCCGACGCTCTATCCACTGAGCCAAACCGGTTTCGGCAAAAATGGCAATCAAAAGCCTACAGCCCCCGGTATTCCCAGGCGGTCTCCCATCCAAGTACTAACCAGGCCCGACCCTGCTTAGCTTCCGAGATCAGACGAGATCGGGCGCGTTCAGGGTGGTATGGCCGTAGACTCTTTTTAAGAAGCTAAAATCTCACCCACCATCCCCAGAGAATGTAATGTGTCCCCACACACAGGGGACACCCGAGACCCCTGATGACGATAGTGCAATCTATTGCCACGGCTGGTGAGACGACCTGGGAACACACGGTTGTGGGAGGTTAGACATGGGAGACGGACACATCGCTGGGCAGGTGGGCTGGGAACACCCACGTGAACCCGCCCGTGCACTCTTGTCTCCTCACCTGGAAGTGTTTTAGAACCTTGCCCAAGTCGGAGACGTCTGTCTCCTTTCGCTGTGCGACGTCTTCAATTGTTTATAAAAAGCATGAGATAGAAACTTCAGGAAGCGAAGAGATAGCAACCAAGAGGTCATTCTACTGACCTCTTTATCCTCTTCCCAAGGCAAGGCCAAGGATCATTCAGGGATTCGTTTACATCTTTTTCAGTCTCCCACAGAGGTGTCTTTGTTTTAAACACTGGAACCATCTAAGGCCCCCTAAGATGGCCAGGTAACCCCAAGAATCTATCATGCTTTCTTTCCCTCAGATTTTTTTTAAAGATTTTTATTTTATTTATGTTTATATATTTTTATTGATTTCAGAGAGGAAGGGAGAGGGAGAGAGAGAAACATCAATGATGAGAGAGAATCATTGATCTGCTGCCTCCTGCATGCCCCCTAATGGGGATCGAGCCCACAACCCAGGCATGTGCCCTTGACCAGAATTGAACCCGGGACCCTTCAGTCCACTGGCCGATGCTCTATCCACTGAGCCAAACCAGCTAGGGCCCTCTCGGGTCTTTTCATCATGCTTCTGAAACATCTAGCTAACTTGAGTCCTGACTCCCTCCTCCTATCTTACCTGCCATCTGGGTCAAGCTATCATTCTCTTTGGAAAACCTTCTCCCTGACCCCTCCAGGTTAAGGACCTCCTGCACCTAACCTGAGCATGAACATATGTCACATTGAACGGACATATTCCCAGCACCTAGCTGGGCTATTCGCACACAATTTAATGCTTGGGGTGGTTAAGGAGTTACAGGGAGCTCTGGGATTCACTGGGTCTTCCCTGAAGTTTCTCCCCTAGGTTTCTGCCTCATCCTTTTCAATAACCAAACTTCCTCAGAAAGAGAAAGGTCATGCTCACTCTGACCTGTGTTTCTCTCTGTCTCTCTGTCTCTGTCTCTGTCTCTCTCAGTCACTCACTCTGAGGGCTAAGCCTCTGAGTTATGAGTTGCTAGCTGGAGAGATCCACATGGCCTAGCACTGAACGAGACAACAGACAGAGAGGACATCAGGCCTTCAATCCAAACTGAACCCCGAAGATGCCCCGTGTGAGCTCAGAGCCTGGGTGACACAGATCCTGCCTCAGCTGAGACCTCAGTGCGGGACACTGGCAGTAGTACCAGAACCTGTGAGCTCATTAGTGCGTGGTGCTGGTTAAGGCTCTAGTGTGGTGTAACGCTGTCACACAGCTGTAGGTCACTAGTACAGTCGTCCCACACTGGGCCGGGCCCTATCCTCTCCCCCACCTCTGATTTCCTCCCAGCTCCCTCCAGCCACCCTGACCACCTTTCTGACCTCTTCTTCGGCCTCCAAGTGTCTACACAGCTGTGCTTTCTGCCGCTAAACACACCTGAGTTGCCCTAACCCAGGGGTGGGCAAACTTTTTGACTCGAGGGCCACAATGGGTTCTTAAACTGGACCGGAGGGCCGGAACAAAAGCATGGATGGAGTGTTTGTGTGAACTAATATAAATTCAAAGTAAACATCATTACATAAAAGGGTACGGTCTTTTTTTTTTTTTTTAGTTTTATTCATTTCAAATGGGCTGTAGTTTGCCCACAGCTGCCCTAACCGGTTTGGCTCTGTGGATAGAGCGTTGGCCTGCGGACTGAAAGGTCCCAGGTTCGATTCTGGTCAAGGGCATGTACCTTGGTTGCAGGCACATCCCCAGTAGGAGGTGTGCAGGAGGCAGCTGATAGATATTTCTCTCTCATTGATGTTTCTAACTTTCTATCCCTCTCCCTTCCTCTCTGTAAAAAAATCAATATATATTTTTTAAAAAACTAAAAAAAACAAACACCTGAGTTTGTGTAGGGCTCCTTCCAGTCCCGCTGCTGGGCGTATAAATGTCGTCTCAGTGCAGTTCTTCAGCCCCTCCCCCCTTATCCTTTTAAGGAAAAGGAATCAGGTGAATGTGCTTTGGGAGTTTAGTGACTGACTCTACATTTGGAAGCTACCTGGAGCTCCTACCAGTCGAACTTCACTTTCAAGGACGAATAAGATGTGGTTGGCGCAGGAGACGACAGCAGGAGCTCTAGAAGCAGGTCAGTTACGTACAACGTGTAAGATGAAGTGCTCTGCAGCCATGAAATCATAGATTCAAAGATATTAAAGGGCAGGGATAATTATTCATGTTAAATGAAAGGTGAGTGGGAATAAAGGGTGACCCCATATTTGGAATAACTCTATGTTTAAATGTAGATGAAAGGATACCAATAGGTGGAGGGGTAGTGTTCCAATCTTCTAAAATGTGTATTGTTTCATCAGAAGGCTTCCAGCAGTATGCTTTGGTTTTGTGTACTATTTTCTTCATCCAGACATGCGGCGCTGGGGGCCCTGTGATGTAGACGCGTTATCCCCACACTTCCCTGCGGGCCCAGGGGCTGCAACCTTGTCTGCCTTTTCTGTCCTGGAACCTAGGGCCTGAGTCAGGAGCTCAATGCAGACCCTGAAGTACCAGATTTTGGACAAAGCCTGTGTTTTCCTAGTGTGAAATGACAGGACAATGACTTCTATGAAGGCACCCCAAAATGTTGACTCTTAACAGATTTTAAGCTGCTTCTGTTGCTGACAGAACCATGAGCCCCACAACACGTGTGTCATGTCTCACTCATCCACTAGAGGGCAGTGCATGGCAGCACATGACAATGACATTGACCCACTTCCAATTTTTACAAGTTCCCTTTCTTCAGAAGGTGCCTGATAAACTTCGAGGAATATTTATTTGATTTTCCTCTTCAACTTCATTTGGAAGCTAATGAAAATCCCCTCCAAGTAACAAAAATAAGATGATCCAGTGCCGGGCAGATGTCACTTGTGACACAGACACGTAAAATGATGGGTCCCACCTTCTGTGTGCACCTCCATCCCTACCTCCCTCTCTCCCTCCATCCATGTACAAAGATCTATCTTTGTAAAGCACCTTTTGGCCTTACATGTGATGTACGAGAGACAGTTGCCAACCGTGTTCCCCTTTTTGGTGACATGAGGGAATCAAGGCAATAAAAATGAAAGGGTGTACACGAAGGATGAAGGACGACAGAAATGGTACCTGCATGGGAACATATATAGATATATACAGTAGATGTAAGACGTCTTTCTTATCATTTACATCTCTTTAAGACGTGGGATAGACACAACAGTAATAATGGTGGATTTCGGGGCTTATAGCATATGTCAAGTGCAATGCATGACGACCACAGCATAAGGGCAGGCAGGAGAGACGCGGGGGGAGGTACTCTACCACTTGAAGGCAGGCTGTGTGTGTGCTCTAGAGCCTAAAGAAGCCGCTGAAATAACAGTGATGTGCAAAAGGAGAGAAAATGGAATCTTACAGAAAGCACGTAAACACTGCCTTAGAGCAGTTGATCTTTCTACCTTATAGAAAAGCTTGAACTGTCCAGATATGTGTATAAGATGATGAGAACACCGTTATTTGTAACCCCACAATGACAGAAACAACTTGGGTAGTAGTGGAGGAAGTCTGTCTTCGGTGATGGTTGAGAGAGAGTACAGAGAAGAGAGAGGTACAAAGGTTTGGTTTTTAAACAATAACAATGGCGTCCCTGGGTGGGCTCGAACCACCAACCTTTCGGTTAACAGCCGAACGCGCTAACCGATTGCGCCACAGAGACCTACAGGGACCAGCATCTCAATGTAGTAGAGAACAAGTCCTTAGTCACTGCTAGGTAGAGCCATATCCTTGTCGCTGGACAGAGGGCCGTGCAGACTCCAAACCTC